TGACAATTCAGGCCTGGGAACCTGAGAACAGCAGTGTCCTAGAATCCAAAAGTCTCACCTTTACCGCGCCTTAAACCAGCAGCAAATCAGCCTTAGACTCCCAATCCATAAAGTGGATTAACAGCTATTCACACTAACGGGTGCTTGTGGGGATTACACAGGATAATGAATGTGGATGAGCTCTGTCAACAATCAAGTTCCTGACAAAAGAGAGGAGCTAGTTATCATAGCTAGGAAGGGCTGTAGGGGAGAGATTTGAGTTTAAAAAGAAAACAAACCCCAACCCAACCCCCTCTCCTGTGGGCTTCAGTTGGACAATGGGGCAATTGTGCTGCCTTTACAATATGTGGATGGATTTTACTCCGTCTGGGATACCAGGCAGGCCTCTGTGAAGCTTTTGAACTCAGGTCTTGTAATGTTCCATGCAGATAAGCAGGATGCTTCATCCACCTCCATTTGGAGGTCTGAGTTCTGGTTTCTACGCTCAACTAGAATCTTGGGCAGTCGTTTAGCTTTTCGGTTTCTTAGTTTTACTCATTTGTTGAGTGGGGACTGTACCAGCCTTACTTACCTGGAAGATCTTTATAAGAATGAAATTAAATTTTGTTCTCTTTTAGCATAAATATATGCATTGCTAATTATAATTAGCCTAGAGTTTTAGCATAACTCCTGGGTGTTCTGAAGTTTTATTATTTACAATCAGCCCAGGCTGATTGCTTCTCCCTGATGTGTTTTTTTCTTAATAAACTTCTTATTTTGGAATACTTCTAGATTTAAGGAAAAGTTCCAAAGATGACACACAGAGTTCCCATACGTCCTTCACCCAGTTTCTTCTAATTCTTCTCTTAACACCTAATATAACTATGGTCCATTGTAAAAACTAAGAAGTCAATATTGGTACATTAATATTAACATACTATAGATTTATTCGGATTTCACCAGTTTTTCTAGCAATGTCCTTTTTCTCTTCCAGGACTCAATCCGGGACACCACACTGCTTTTAGTCATCATGTCTCCTTAATCTCCTCTGGAATGTGTTGGTTTCTTAGTTTTTCCTTGTCTTTCATGTACTGGCAGTTTGAGGAGGACATCGTAGGTCTTATATAGACCGTCCCTCCATCTGGTGCAGTCTGACTTTTTTTTCCCCTGATGATTGGATTGGGGTTATGGATTTGGGGAAGAGTGAACTGCTCTTCTCACCATACAATATTACAAGTGCATGTCGTCAACACAACTTATTACTGGTGATATTCTCCCTATGCGCTTGGTTAAGGTGGGATCTGCCAGACTCTTCCACTGTAAAGTGACTTTCAATGCTCTGTTCTTTAAAATAAAAGAAAATCACCGAGTCCAACCCACACGGGCAGGGAAGGGGGAAGGGGCAAGAATCTGCATACATTAGTAAGAAAGATTGGTCTCTTTTACCCCATTTATGGATCTGTTTAATCATTTATTTATATCATTAGGGACCTCTGTTTAATTATTTTACACTTTAGGTTATAATCCAATGCTATGTTATTTATTTTGTTGCTCAAATTGTTCCAGCTTTGGCCATTAGGAGCTCTTTCAGTTAGCTCCTTCCAGTGTCCCTTTGGCATAACCCCACAATCGTGGGGTATTTTGTTTTTGTTTTTGTTTGGAGCACTTTCTCACTTCCTAGCACTGAAAGATGCTCCAGGCTCGTCTTATATATTCATTGCCCCGGTCCTAGAATCAACCATTTCTCCAAGGACTCTGCTTCCTTTTAATGGAAAATGGTATTAGAAACCAAGAACTGGACACTGGGTGTACTTGTTGTTACTAGCTAAATGCTGATTTTTATCCAAATAAAATAAATGAAAATGTTTAGAGTCAGAGAAATATGGGTTTTCACTAGCTGTGTTACTTTGGGCAAGTTACTTTGCCATGTTGGGTTTCCATTTCCTCATCTATGTGTAAGGATAATGAAAATGACATACAAGGCTGTTGTGGAGTCAAGTGGTATAACACTGAAGGAACTTCCTGTTTCTGATACTCAAGAGCTAGATTTTTTTCCCCTAACTGTTCTGCTGAAAACAACCAAAATTCTTAGAGAAAATATAGGAATCCTCTTCAAAGTATAAATGATCTGGCAAAATAATAATGGCAAAAATTATGGGAAAGTGGGAACCAAAGAAACTAAACAAGTAAGAAAGTTGCATTTACCCTGAAGGCATTTGCTATTTCCAGCAATTTTGAATTTTCACTTGACAGCCTCATGGTGGCTGGGGTGGCAGTAGAGGTGATGATAGTCAAAACCAGGGCCAGCACTAGGCAAGAAATTTAATAGAGACCCTTGCTATAATAAGCTGGGTACCAAACAGTTATAACCTTGGGGGAGGGTGAAGGAATTACTGCTCTTATTTGAACTCTCTGAGTCTTACAGGAAACCTCAAGTCTTGAGTTTGGTTTAAGTTGGGTCTTAAACTGAGAGCACCTTCAGATGCTTTATAAGGGGAAGAAGGTGCCTTCAATTTGGCCTTCATGTAAATCTCACAAGACATTTTTTCAAAAACAATGACCAGCACATATTAAAAGATAACTATACATAAAGCAGAAATAATAGACAAAAGGAAATAGACTGCTAAAGTCTTAAGATACTGGGATTATTAGCTATAGACTATAAAATAACTATGCTTCAATGCATAAAGAAATCAAAGACAAAATTGAATATATCTTTAGGGGATAAGAAACTAAAAAGTTATATAGATGATATAAAACAGAAACCAAAAAAATATTTTTTTAAGATAAAAATCCTAACAAACAGGATCAAAAATGTAGGGGATGCATTAACCAGCCCATTAGATGCACCTAAAGAAAGAAAGAATCAGTAAACTTGAAGAGTTATCATGTGAAAGCATCTAGATCAGTTTCAGTAATATCAATCATCCCTGTCCCCTTTTCACCCTTTCATAAGCCCACTCCTGTTAAGCATCTCTAATTGGCCAAGGGTCCCAGACATTTTAGTGAAAAGAAGCTGCTAATAGCATTTCTGAAACCTTGAAATCCCTGCAAGGGGTGCGGCAGAAGCATTTGTACCAGCTACACTACACTCTTCCCTCTGGGAATACTGGGAAAGGCCAGAGAAGGGGTGAGTGCTCATGGTCGGCAGCACTGAGATCTGCACAAGAAGGCCTTGAGATGTCCTATAGGTCCCAGCAACCCACCTCTAACCCCACAGATAGTTTGTTCCAAAATGTCTGGCTGCTCCCTGCTTTTCTCCCAGGCTGCTACGAGTATCTAGGAAATGAAAAGTGCAAAGTGTGTTGCACTAATAGAATACAAAAGCACTTCAATGTTATATGTGAAAGTTGATGTCTCTTACTCAACATTCTTTTGATGGATTTTTTATCTCATCTACGTCACTGAAATACTTAATCACATGGATTTAAAATCTTCCTTCATGTAGCTCTTTTTTTTTTTAAATTAAAAGTATTCTTTTTTCCTCTCCCCAAAGTGGGCATTTTCTTTGTGGAACGTAGACAGGGTCCAAAGATAGCTGCCATCAATTTTTCCTTCCCTATATGTGCATGTTGCTCCTCATAAGGAGAGGTGAAGTCTCTTCTCTTGCCCAAATCTATCCTGGCCTTGGGGTTCCCTTGGGCCAACAGAATGTGGCTGAAGTAACACTGTGTTAACAGTGGGCTGAGCCTTGAGATGACTGGCATCTTCTACTTCCCCTCTGGAAGCCAGTCATGATATAAAACAGTCAGCCCTCCTGACACTACTGTGTTGTGAGGAAGCCCACATCTGGCCAATCCAAAGGAGACAATTGCCCAGCAGCCCCCAGATGATCCTGCCACCCCAGCTGAGGTTACCACCATGAGAGTGAAGAACCCAGCAGACACCTCAGGCAGCAGGAGAACCATCCAGCTGAGCCCCATTCAGATTCAGAATTGTGAGAAATAATAACTAGATGTTCTAAGCCACTAAGTTTTGGGGTCACTTGTTACATAGCAACAGATAACTGAAACTTCTTTGCATATGCTTTTCTTCATAATAATTGTTCTCCTGAAAAGGAAAAAGAGTCTTCAAGGTTCTTCAGTGTCCACCTCAGTCTGGCTCCTGCAGATTTCTCCAGGCTTTCACTTGAGATGTCAGCCAAACTGGTCTTCTCGCTGTTTTTTAACATGTCTGTCCCAAGTACTCCCATTTGTATGATTTTACTCACTTCACCAACCCTGTCTGAAGCCTCACCTGCATTACCCCTTCTTCAGTCATACCACCACTTTGTTGGAATTTTCCACTCTTGAAGGTCTAGTACAAGAATGACATTTGCTCCTAAGTGATTTCTGTCCTCTGAACTCTGGAATTATTCCTTGGAAAGTCTCTGTTCCCTTGTGTTTTTATTTGCATTTTAAAGTCAGTTTTGTGTCCTCATGTATAACAAGCTCCTTTGAATGCAGAGATTGAGCATATACCTGTTTATGTTATAGCATCTAACAGAGGCCCTAGAAGACAGGCCCCTCAGAAAACACTCAGAAAGCGTGTTTTATAGATGATTATGCTGTTTTATACATTTTTTTTCTTTCGAGCAGCATTTTGGTGGTGATTCATTGGCTCTATCTCCATTTTCAGGTGTTCTGCCGCTTTCACATTGAATTTTCATCGCTACTTCTGACATAAAAATACCACAGGTCTTTTTTTCTGAATATGAAGAATGAGTTAATAGATTTTGGTAAGAAGTAGAAAAATGAAAATCACTTAATACATTTCTTTTTTGCCAAGACAAAGAAAATGCTTTTGATTCCCTCCTCTGCTTTTCATGTCAGAAAGTTCATACACAGTGAATCACTTCCTTGTCACTTAAACTCTGAGAGTGTAATATGATCATGGTAGGCAATGAAAACATGTATATGAAGTCCCAAAGGCATAAAAATCCATGAGTGGAAACCGATAAAAGATTGACAGCTGTTTTCTAAGAAAGCAAAGAGCTGACAGCTGATGCACAAAGGTTTCTTCTGCACACCAGGGACCCTTACCTGACTCCTAATCCTCGTGCTGGCCATGGGAGTCAAAAATTTATGTTCTAGATATCAGGCTCGCTCCTGGAACACCAGCTTGGTTCCATATAACAGACAAAACTAAGGCATGGGGGAAGAGGAGAGAAATGAACGAACAGTAATATATTAGAAAAGGCAAAGTCTAAGGAGGAGGAAGAGAAATAGCGTAATATTACATTTCATTAAATCATAAAAGTTAATACTGTCTCAATGTAAATGGTCACATTTTGGATGTGCAGTATGTTTTATTTTTAAAAACTATTCTATAGAACATGTAAAGCATATATAAAAGTAGAAAGAATAGCATAGCAAACTGCCATGTGACCATTCCCCCAATTAAACAAATATTAACTCATGGTCAATCTTGCTTCATCTGCAACCTCATCTAGTTCCCCCTCATCCCAGGTTATTTAGAAGCAAAGTCCATATAAAGTATATTTTAAAACATGAATGTAGTATTTTTTTTTTTAAGATTTTATTTATTTATTCATGAGAGACAGAGGGAGAGAGAGATAGAAAGCACGAGAGGGAAGAGGGTCAGAGGGAGAAGCAGGCTCCCAAGGAGCAGGGAGCCCGATGTGGGACTCGATCCCAGGACCCTGGGATCATGACCTGAGCCGAAGGCAGACGCTTAACCATCTGAGCCACCCAGGCGCCCATGAATGTAGTATTTTTATTTGCTTTCCTTCTCAATTCATGAAAGAATATTCTAAATGTACATTCTGAACATCATCTTGGTATTTTCCATTGAGCCCGATTTCATTAAACTTTCATAAAAATAGCATTCCTCATTTACATTTATTTCAACATGTTTTTCCTGTTATACCCCTGAAACCTACCCACAGAACTCCTTCATGACATCAGTGGCATCAAGCAATAATAAATGAGTTTTCCTGTATCAAGCAGCAACTTTTTAATTAACTATTTAGTTACTTTTTAATATCCAATCATTTTTAAATCATACAAAAGCAGAGAGAAGAGTAGAATGTACTTCCACGTCTCCATCACCCAGCTTGCGCAGCTATCACTTCATGGCCAATCTTGTTTTATCTCTCCCCCCACCCCTTTCTGGATTATTGTGAAGCAAAATTCAGTTATACCATTTCATAAGGTTTCACTGTTTATTTCTAAAAGATAATGACTCTTCGGAAGTAAGATTACATAAAGTCCACCCAAGTGACAACAACAAAACCCTCAATTCAGAGTCAAATGGAAATGATCTGCATTGTCAGAAGACAATATGTTTTCTATGGCTCATGAGACTCAGAAATCACACAGTTTGAAGTCATGTAGACTATATAGGCTCTTCCTTCTTTTCCTGAGGTTCTGGGACATCCTTGAATTAGCATCATTATGGAGAGCCTCAACTATTCAATCTTCCCAGAAAGGGTCACATGCTTTGTAGCTTGTCTATGAGAGATATTTAAGATTAATTATGGCTCTTTTATGACCTTGCCAATGTTCTGCTTAGCTAGTGAAAGCTTCCTTTGGCCCTTTTATATAACGGCAGTAAAGATGTTAGCTGACCCTGCAGACACAGTGAGAGCAACTGAAAAATACTGTCAGACATCCTGATAACATGAATTCTTACAAAAATAATAAATTGTATTGCTTACATGGCTAAACTGCCTCACAAGTCTCTAGGTGAACTTCCTCTCAACTACAAAAGTACCTATTGTGGATTCCTAGGAATAGAAAGTTAATTTGCATCACTTCTGGGTCTACAAACATATAAGGTCAGTGATAAGAAATCCAGAACCACAGAATGTATTTTTTGAAATAATTTAACTCATCTTCTCACTCAATCCAGAATCCTGTGTCAGCCAAGGTACAACCAAGAAACAGATGACATATTCACATTAGGATGATTCAAGAAGAGTTTAATAAATTATTTTCATAAAGGGGTGGGCAAGTTGTAGGAGAGCCACAAGGGATAGTGCAGTATCCTAGAGCTAGTATATCTGGAACTGCTACCAGCTCTAGGTTTCAAGGGAGGAGGGCAGGGAGTGGCTACTAGATCCTGGAAGAGAGAGCTGTATACATAAAGACATCTTAAGAGGAGCTGCAACCTTCAGCCTAGGAACACAGAAATCCCAAGGTGACCCCACAGGGAGGCAGGCAGGGGGCAAGATTATCCACACCTTATTCTCCTCCCCTCTCTAATCTCTAACTGAGGCTTCCAGTTTTCAGAAGCTAACCAGATCCAGAGGTCAGGGATCCCACTGATGCAAGTTATGCAAGTCCACTTCCTAGACCTAGAGCAGGTTGGAGAAGGGTGGAGTGAAGAGCGGGAGAGGCAAGTAGAGGATACCTGGCACAAATCCCTTCTCTAACACCCCTGACAGATGGTGGTCCAGCCTCTAGACTACTCCTGTCTGACTCAGGCCCAAGCCCACTTGGTCCCACAGAGATCCTAACCAGCCCCTGACTGCTGACACCATTGCCAAGCTCTGTTCCAGACTGCTGACTTTAACCAGTGTCACACCATGTTTCCTGATTATGTCTGCTCCTCCCTTTTGTTGACTCCTGAGTTGTCCTCCTGTTGTCAGTTTGTGGCTCTTGTGTATCTGATGCTCAAGGACACTTTCCTGACTTTGAACTTCTGCTTTTCTCCTTCAACACAGTTCAGACTCTCCTTAAACAACCTTCTTTACTTGTCCTGGTAAACACGGGTCTTGGTTCTCAGTGGCTACCAGAACACCACATCTAGGTCCAGATACCATTAGCCCAGCCTCAGACCCTCCAACAGAACCTGAATGTCTTTCCTTTGCCTTTGTGTTCCAGAGACAGGAGCTCAAGGCATTAAGGGGCATCTGGCTCTCAAAGGAGTCTCATTGTTGGAAGAGCCATGGCATATCGAGCCACTTCTCTCTGTAAAATAATGAATTTATGGATTGTTCAGTCTGTAGGAAAATGATCTGGTCCTGCTCATCTCCCTATGCTTAAGGTCTGGTAAGGGAGCTGACATGCTGCAAGAAACTGGCTGAAATACAATTTCCTATAACGCATAGCTATTAACCCCGTAACTTTGGCTGCCTAAGGAACAAAACAGGAGTCTATGAAAACATCCAGATAACAGCCCTTAACAAATTTAAAGATCAGTTTCACCTCTCTGCTTAGTCTTTCTTCAAAATGACCAACCTTCACAGATCCTCATCTCCCAGTTACCACACGGTCTCCAGCCCTCGTGCCCTGGGGGCCTCTTCTAGATGCTAATTCTGTCTCTCAAGGTGTCTCTCAGAAAACTGAGCAGAGTACCCAAATGTTCTCTCATTACTGTAGCGTCGGCAGCACCATCACTATCCTGGACCGGGATTCTACACTTTTAAATGCAAGTTAAGATGGAATTTACTTTCATGACAGCCACATAACATTTTTTGAATAAATGAAAGCATATCATACATATTTGGTTTAACATCAAATGTTTGTTCACTTGACACTCCCAACTAAGTCTTTTTGCCCATGAACTATTCTCAACCAACACACACATACATGTAAACATCCTTAAAGAGATGATTTAAAATTCGTTCTTTTTTTTAAAGATTTTATTTATTTATGAGAGAGAGAGTGCACTAGCTGGGGGGAAGGGGAGAGGGAGAGGGAGAAGGAGGCTCCCTGCTGCAGGGAGCCTCACAACAGGGCTCCATCCCAGGACCCTGGGATCATGACCTGAGCCGAAGGCAGATACTTAACCTACTGAGCCACCCAGGCACCCAAAATTTGTTCTTTTAAAAAATAAAGTTCTTTGATTCCTTAATATTATTATTTTTTAAGATTTTATTTATTTATTTGACATAGAGAGACACGATGAGAGGGAACACAAGCAGGGGCAGTGGGAGAGGGAGAAGAAGGCTTCCCACAGAGCAGGGAGCCCGATGTGGGGCTTGATCCCAGGACCCTGGGATCATGACCTGAGCCGAAGGCAGACGCTTAACGACTGAGCCACCCAGGCGCGCCGATTCCTTATTATTTTAAAGTACCATCTTGTTGATATGACCTGTCTCGAGTCCCCAAAGTCTCTATGAATCTTGACTCAATCACCTGATATGCTTGTGTCATTTACAAATTTGTAAAATCCCATCTATATCTTTATGCAATAGAAGCCAGCTGATAGGTCTAAGTCTTCTGATTCAAGTGTCTGAGAATCTATTTAATGCGATGTCCTCTAACTCATATTTCTTTCTTTCTTTTTTTTTTTTCTAACTCACATTTCTCTGGCTTGTCCATAAGGATATCCTGAGACTCTGGCAAAGTGTTGGCCAAAATCAAGATACACCAATTTGCCCAGATTTTCTCTTCTAGTAACCTGATTAAGAAAGGAAATGAGATTTGTTTAGCAAGGCTTAGCCATAGTGAACAGAGAGGCTCCTAGTGACTGTCTCTTTTCCAATTGCTCATAAGCTATTCTGAATACTCTTTTCTAGAATTTTAACTTAGATTTATATCAATATTAAATTCTATAGTTTCCCAAATCTATTTTCCCCCATTTTTAAAAAATGTGCACATTTGCTCATTTCTGATTTTTTGACATCTCTCTTTTGACCTTCTTGGTTTTCAAAAGGACAACTACATGTCCTTCACAATTCAGGCAGAAAATGGGAACATTATAGGGCATGAGTTTTGCTTTCTTTTTGCCATCTCTTAGCACCAAAGCTTTCTTCCCCAAACCAGAAGCCTGTTTCTTCAAACTCTGAATGTAGCTAAAAATGGCCTTTTAAATCTTCATCAGATTATTTGTCAAACCTCATGTTATGCTGGGTTTCAGCCATCCTGACATTTATTAAATGCTATCCTTTTGTATTTATCCTCGGACAAGCCTCTCTTTCCCATTACCCCTCTCCTCATTGCTTATATGTAGCTACCTTAGACCTGTGCACAAGGAGCACATCCATGCTCTTAGCCTGGTTTCTTAAAATGTGTCCCAAATCACAATCTTTTGTCCATACCCACTGTATTGTCAGAATAATATTCTGCTGCAGGCTAACAAAAACCCTGGACACCAAAGCTTGGGTACCATGGTTGGCAATGCTTTGCACGTGATGTCACATTGCCACATTGTTACATTGTGGGGGAGAATTAAG